GGCAGGGGGGGACTTCAAAGAAAGATGCAAAAAGAGCCTAATGGGAACTCGCACAAGTGAAAATGTGCTTGCGACCTTGACGTCAGTGTCCCCGAGAACGTTTTAGAGGGTCACCCGTAAAAGCACGAAGCCGGACGTGTTCATGCTTCCCTGTCACTCACACCGAATCCTAGGTTAACACCGAACAGGGTTCCCAGGCAGGTGGCGTACCTGCCTGCCCCACCCCCTCCTCACTCTCCTACCGGGCAACCCAAACCCCTCACGCGAGCTTTTGCACGTTAGAAGCAGAGGTGCCCGAAGGACAGGACGGAGACGCCGAGGGCCGTGTGCTTGTTTCGTTCACCGGCGAATTCCCAGCACTCAGCACGAGGGCCGGAGTACGGCGGGCGCCCGGTGAGGGCCGACGGGTGGCAGCAACACGTCGTCCGGGGAGCAGGCCTGAAGCGAACACGAAAGGCTTTCTTCTTCCTCCTACTTCCTCCGAGTCGGAGTTCCAGAAGTTTGGTGTGCAGCTGAGTTCGGTTTTTGTTAGTTTTGGTGGCGGTGGCCGGGGCGGTGGGGTGGGGGCATGCCAGCCGCAGTCACCCCTACACGTTCTCCTAAGGAGCCTGAGGATGGGGAAGTGATGGCCGCAGCGCTGGCTGGGACTGTGTTGTTACTGCTGACTGAACAGGTGTGCAGCACACCTCCCAGGCCGGCGGACACGTGACGTGGCGTGTCACTGCATCTGAGCGTGTTTGCACCCACCTTCCTGCACACCGTAAGCTTCCCTGCCTCCACCCCCGCCACCTACACACCCCTCTGCAAGGAAGCGGGGCACAGCATCTGGTGCGGGCTGTTTTGGGAGCTAAAGACTTTCTCTTGGCTCAGAGCAAACTGTAATGAACGGCAATAACCAGCTCTGGGAAGGGCAGGAAATGACACATGTCCCCACCCACTCCAGCAGCTTTTGTTCAAAAACTGGGGGACCTAACATGATCACGTGTGCTGAAGAATGACGCACGGAACCAAAAGCCACTCATCAAGGTTTCTGGTCTTGGGCTTGTTTCAAAGCGAGGACTATTAGACAAGGCTAGACATATCCGCGATTCTGTCTCCAGGCCAGCTCGTGTTTAAGGGTGACCGGAATTTCAGAACCCCCGGCGCGAAGGCCCACCAGTCCTCCGTTCTGTCCAGTAGCTTCCTTCACAGCAGGCTGCGAGTCCATTTTTCTCGCCTGTCCTCACCGCCAAACCCCGTCTCCCTACCTGTGAACTGAGAGCCCCCCTGCTCCAGGACAGTGGCGCCAAACAGGCGGCCAGTCAGGTCAGCTCAACTCCCCAAAGCCTCTGCGAATCAGAGCTCTGCTCGCAGACAGGGCACCGTCTGGCCCAATGGGCAAGCACACGCCACCGCGACCGTCAGCCAAGCAGCAAACCAGGAAGGGTGACAGTGACTCGCCCCCTGACTTTCACTGCAAAACACTGGTCGAGACTGCCGAGTAAAATACAAACACGGTAGCTGTTTTCATTTGTTTATTCTAGTTTGTGTTTGACCTAATCATTTCACAGCAATTCTTAGTAGGGAGAGAGACAAAATTAATCCGTGCAGTGAGATTGCTCGGAGGTATCTCGAGGAAGAAGAATCTCTTTAGCCAGAGAATGAGGCTGAAGCACCTAAGTTTCAGTTGCAGCTGAGCTGATGAAATGTAGGATGAATAATGTGGAAAAAAAAAAAATTAATGTGAAGCTGAGCAAATCCGCGATTGCTGCAAAGCCCACATTTTCAGTATCGGACCTGTCTCCTAAAGCCAAGTGCCTGTCAAACTTAGCAAAGACGCCACGTCCCACCCTCCCAAGAACGAGCTCGGAAAAGGCACAACACAACCAATTATTTGTCAGGAGCTTGTTAAACATATAGAAGAAAACATATTTTTAAGGAAATAAGCAATAAATACCAGGACTGAGGAGAAACTTCAGAGGTTACGACTCTTTATTATTCCACCTGGGTTAAATTCGAGCTCCCCTCGACTTGCCTCCCCCGAGCTCTTGGAGTCGGCGCCCCACCTGCCCCGGCCACACTAATTCCTCCTCCGAACCCCTGCAGCACCCCGTGGGGAGCCGCGACACCACCAGGCGTCTGCACATGCGCACTGTACCCAAGCTTGGGATGGGATGTTACACCCCCGGGAACCCCCATGGCTCCTACAGTGCTCAGCACACAGAAGCGGCTGTGATTTCCGCTGCCTTCCCAGCAGACGTGGCCTTAGATGACACCTGCGCCCTTGTCACTGTTTCGACAGTGGATCAGGGCGACAGTCACAGACCCACTCAGGACATGTTCAACAGTGGGGCACAGAAATGCATCCCGGTGACGGCCTATGAGCACCGACGCCCCTCAGCAGCGGAGATAAAAGCAATGACCTTCACGGGAAACGGACTGTCCGTTCTCTCACACTTCGTATGCGTAACCGAAACGCCTTTAACGGACCCTTGGTCGGTCTCAAAGGTACTGCAGTGGCTTCCTGTCTCGTCTCCACATGGAGGAGGACCCACGCCATGCTCCCTGGCGCCCTGCACCGGTGTCCTGCACACGGCGGGCACCGAATTGTTGGATCCGTATTTCCCAGAATGTGAAATCTCACCGCATTGTTTTCTAAGGTGACCCTCCGTGGCGATGCCAAACGCTTCCACCCACATGGGTAAGTAAAGGCGGGGCCCAACAAGCTGTTCATCAGTTCTGTATTGTGTCGCACGGACTGTCTTCATAGACACGGGTAACGGTGAAAACCGTGCCCCCTGACCCCGCAGCAGACGGTGCTTGCTGAGACAGTGTGACGGAAAAACGCAGATCCCGTTCTGCATCCTGAACAGCTAATTCCAGACACCAGCTTCTAACTGTGACTTACCAGCCTGGGATTGGACATGGACAGATCCAGTGCTTTTCAACTTGTCCCTGAATTTCTCTTCGAAGTTGAGGCAGTTGTTGATTGAAATGCCCTCGATTTGGATAAAGCTGACTGCGTAGAGCTTATCAGTTACGTCCACGACGTGGTCACTAAGGAGAGAGCTACAATGCACACTTTCCACCCCGCACACGTGCTCCGTGCTAACCGCGGGGCGCGTGCAGCCGACGATCAAACGCGCGGCAGTGACGGCCTCAGAAGCACCAGGCTGTCACTGTTCCCACAGCAGCGCAAAGCCCCTCCTGCCTCACAGGACTTTCTTTTGGGCGACGCCTTGACGACGGCCAGTAATGACGCCGCCCACAGCCCTCACTTGAGGCTGACGGTGCCCGAGGCCGTTACTGACCAGAGCGGCACTAAGCTCAGGAAGCTCTGATCTGGTTTAAATGCGGGAGACGCTGTGCCAGGGGAAATGCCCCATATTCTCTTCTACCTGATGCTTCTCCAAATGCTACGGCTCCGACGAGATCTTTGTCCTGCACGGATTCGAGAGCTGGCTCTTCCGCTCTGGGATGGCTTGAGTACCATAAAACATGACTTGTGTGGAGCAAAAACATTCCCAGGAGTTTCAAAAAGAAACTCTATTCAGCTAAAAAAGTTACAACCATCACTTTTCTTTAAACCTGGAACATATACCGTTGATTATACGGAAAAACGCATCAGCCTGTCCTGCCTGTGACCAAAACGGAGACCAGCGAGCCGAGCTGCGTGCTTTGTGTCACCGCACAGTCACGTTCTGAGAGTTCAAAGAGGATACAAACGCTGCCTCGGTGACGCTTGATGTTCAGTGTCTGCTACATCACCCTCGGCACTCTGCGCTCAGTCTCCACACGGAACAAGTTCAGATATCAAGGTCACCTTGATTCTAAGAGAGAGAGGTCGCCATCGACATTTGAAGCTGCTTCTCCCCGGGACACCGGTTTCCCAACCACACACAGGTTACCGAGGTGGCCTTCTCTCAGGCTAAGCGTTGTCCAGGCTCAGACCGCCCTGAGGTGGACTCAGCCAGGTGCCGGTGAGGACACCTCCAATGAGAAACCCAACACACGGGGATTTTAAAGCTTCGAGCCTGGCCCAGCAAACAAAGTGCCACAGGCTTTCTTACAGCGCTGAGTCTAGTGATCGTCAAGGTCAAGGAGGCGCACGGACAAGTTTACTCAAAGGCCGCCGTCTCTTCTGCGTGGAACGTGCAGTCAGTCTGCCAAGCCCAGCTCTCATGCGGGCCACAGGGAGCCCAGGCAAAGCACCAGGGAGCCCCCTGCGTAGATGCTCGCTGGGCGGCCGCTCTGGGCGCGGCTGTCCGGGCCAGAAAGCGGGACCCAACAGGAGCCCAGTGACCCAGCGACGGTACCCCTGAAGGTAAGAAAGGCGAAACTCGGAAGGAGAGAGAATAACCTTGCAGGAGGACGCGCCGCTGGCCCGGCACGCTTCCAGACAGCCAGGCGCGTGCTGAACACACCGTCCCCGCCCTCCCCGTGTCCTCGCCAGCTTCATCACTCCGGAAGCTACCTCGGGACCCAGTCCCGCAGCCCCGGGCCGAGCCGCGGCCTGGTCCTTCGGCACGGGCTTCCCCCGGCGATGCCCTGTCTCCAGGAAGCTCGGTGCCAACAGAGACCAAGGTCGCAGGACACGGAGGTCGAAGGGTGACCTGGAGCCATGCGGGGCCAAAACGTCCTCTCGTGGGCGTGGCCGGACACGCACTGCACGCACACTCCCCTGGGTCCATGTAACTTACATTAACTAATTAATTAGCTAATTAATTAATTAATATCAGCGACAGAACCCCGAACGTTCGTAGATCAAATTCTAATGTGACAATTTAAAAGCAAACAGTGCTCCACTGGGTTAATAAATCAGAATTAGCGAAGAGACAATGTTTTAAATACCACGTCATTGAAAACTCCTAGTAGGCATGTCCCCGTCATCAGTCACTTTTACACTAACGGCCACGCTCCCTGTCAGGTCACCGGACTGCTGGTACGCGCTGCAGTTCACAGGCCAATGCCTCGCGACGCCCCCTCAAGTGACCGAATCCTTCTTCTTCCGGAACGGCGACTTCAGCCTCTTCCACACACTGTTCTTGGGCTTCGCTTTCTTCTCCACGGCCAGCACGGCCTCCCGTTCCTTCCTGCGGATCTCGCGGACCAGGGCGTGGAACACGTCGTCGATGTAGTAGCGGTAGGCGGCAGACGTCTCGAAGAAGGGACAGCTGAACTCTCGGGCCAGAGCCAGTCCTTCTTCCTTGCTGACCTGCATGTGAGGAGAGGGACGATGGCACCAGTGGAGGATGAGTACGGTTACCCGAGAAAGGGAAGGGACTTCCTTAACGGGAGGAGAGCGCCTCGCGCTGGCGGAGAGGCGCAGGGCGGGGTGCTGTCCCGCGGGGGGCTGGCCCGCACGAGCTCTGGGCTTCCTTCTGCCTCCACGTTATGCGAATGTACGTCTACCCTTTTTGTTGTTGTTCAAAGTAATTTAATGAGATGATGCTGTTTCGTGTCGAAGAATTAAATGGATGTGTAACTTCTACCCTGTTTTAAAGATAACGTTTGGGAACAGGGAACGATCAGAGAAATCAGGTATGCGACCTCAGTCCGCTTCATACTTTCCGAGAAAGTAAAACTCAAGGCGATGATACTCAACTGCAATACTGAAAACTACGGAACCCCAAACCGACCCACTTAGAAGTACACCAGGATTTCTCCTACTTTTGGACACTTAGAGTTTTCTGATTTTTCGCTACCAGAAATAGCCTGGCAACGAGCATTTTACGCACAAAGCCCTGAACGGATTGTTCGAACAGGGGCCGACTGAGAAGCGCCGTGCGCGTACTGTCACGCCGCGTCCGAAAGCCGCCTCAGGCAGCTCCCCCCAGCAGCTGCGAATGCGGCCGTTTCGCACCTTCAGAAACTCTGCACCGAAGAGCAAAGTTTTAAAACATCGTTGTTAACTCGAAAGGCATCGCTCATTCTAAAATCCTCCACAGTTTCTCCGATTCTCCCCTCCCGGGGCTCACAGTCACCATCGGAACAGATTTACTTCTGAGGGTTTTAGGACCGACTGTTCCATGACCCCTCACTTGATGCGCATCCTATTTGTCACCTGTTACTATCCTGTGGCTTTTGTCCTGTAAACAGGTCCCTAAAGTCCAGATTTCATCCAAAATATTAACAAATTAGCGTACACAGGGAACTTTAAGGTTAAGAAGTCAATCTTGGACGCTATTTTAAGGCAGAGGAGCCTACAGACAGAGAAAGGACAACGCCCGGCCCCACAGCACGCCGCACAGCGCCTCCACCTCTGCCTCACCTGTCTCAGCTGCCTGAGGTCAGACTTGTTCCCCACGAGGACCACCGGGGTGTCGTCGGTGCGGCGCACTCGGTAAATGAGCTGCTTGAACTCGCGAACTTCGTGGAAGCTGCGCCGGTCCGTGATGGAGTAGCAGATGATGAAGCCCTCCCCCGCCCGCATGTACTGGTCCCGCATGGCAGTGAACTCCGCCTGGAGGGAAGCAAGGGTCAGTGCGCGCCACGGCCCCGCGGGACGGCACGCGGATGGCTGTTTATTTCAGGTTAAAGAAGAGATGTGTCCGTTACCTGCTATCCTGAGTCAGGGTGCATGAAAAATTAAAAGACATGGACTGGTGGTCTCTCTGGGCAAGCCTCCCCCTCCCCTTTACCGGAGTGAAAGGCCTTTGCTTAGAGCATCGTGGGATCTGATACCTGTCCGGCCGTATCCAAGATGTCCAGGTTGGCAGGCTCATCATCGATGCGGATCCGGATTTTATAGGCATCCTCTACAGGAGGGAAGGAAGGTGCACTATAAACCCACAAATGAAGGAGTATGAGACCCTACTTTAAACTCCATCGAATGCAAAAGCAGATTACACACAAGTTCCTTAAGCGAAATCCACTGAGATGCATAAATTGGGTCTTCAACTAAAGTCCCCCTGCCATATAAGCTTTGATATAAATTTATTCATAGCTTAATTTTATGAAACGTTGGCTACAATCCTAAGTAAAAAAGAGTTTGGAGAGAGTGTCCTTTTAAAAAATATTAGGCCAGAAAATAACTTTAGCATTTATTACAGTTATTAGATGCTGGGCACTATATTAAGTAATTTATACACATTAACTCATTCAATAGTCACAATAATCCAGTGAGGGAGGTATTATTATCTCCATTTTATAGATAAAGAAATTAAACTCTAAAACATTAAAAGTTTTCCCAACAGTTAATTAATGGCATTAGCCAGAATTAAATTACAGTTTATTAATGACACAGCCAGAACCAAAACACAGGGCTGCCTGACTCAAAAGTCCTACGTGTATGCTTTACCCTATGCTGTAATTCCTCCTCGTTTTACTACTATAGAAAACAATTCTAACTTTCTAGTTTCTAAATAACCCATACCTTCATCATTTCTCTTTTATGAAAGCAAATTTCTTTATGCACATTATCGTAGTAACCTTGGAAAATACAAGTAAAAAAGAGGAGGAAAAAACCCGCAGGACAGTTCTATCGTTCAAACAATTGCTGCTTACGTCCTGAGACGTTTCCTTTTAAAGATTTTTTTTTTCTTGAGTCTGCTGCTGACTCTTCCTCATAGGTGAAGAGCTTCTCAAACTACTGATCCACTAGGATCAGTGAGCTGTGAATGAATTTCATGGGTTGGGACCAGCATTAAAATAAACAAGCAGAAATCTCAAAAAAAGAGAGAAAACAGTAGAATGCGGCACGCGTAGGAGGGAGGTGTAGTCTCCCGACGCTTTAATCACGTGCGCACATGTGCATGTGCACGCTCATATGCACACGCACATATTCACGTGGGTACTAGTTACGACGGAAACTTTTTCTTCTTGGAGTTGGCAGCCAAATTTGAAACAAAACGTACTAAATTATAAACTCGATGAGAACAGACACATCGTTTTGCTCACCACACTACCCCAGGGCCCACTACAGTGTTTGGGACGTGATAGAAACTCAAGAGACATAAGTATTTGCTGGTGAATCAGACAAAAAAGAATAGATCAGTTTAAAAAAGTAACTCTTTCAGGGGACAGGAATATGAGTTTTTATTGTAAAGTTTTAGTCTAAAGAAAAGACACTTTTGGAGTTCTAAGTATATTATCCCAAGCCCTAAGTCCGCTTTGTTCCTAGCATTCCCAGTGTGGGGCTCCCTGAACTACGTTCTAAGTTTAATATAGCGGGTGAAGAAGCGAGAACTGTTTCTCCTTCCAGGGCAGCATCGGCCACATAAAATGACCCCATCCAAAGCTGGGTTAGCACAGAACACCCGCTGGCTCTGTGGAAAACAGAGCGGCAGGGGCCTGGCCCCCGAATGGAAACCCTCCCTAGGGTCCCAGGA